GCGTGTGCGTGTGCGTGTGTGTGCGTGTGCGTGTGCGTGTGCGTGTGCGTGTGCGTGTGCGTGTGCGTGTGCGTGTGCGTGTGCGTGTGCGTGTGCGTGTGGGTGTGTGTGTGTGTGTGTGTGTGTGTGTGTGTGTTTGTTCCCTCCTGACCGTGCTCGCCCGGCCTCGGGTGCCCTCTCGGGCCGCTCGGGGCCCCCATATCGGGGCCTCGCGCTTCTCCCCTGGAGCGCCGCGAGGCCAAAGCCGCCGACCCCGTCGGCGTGGGCGAGGGGGGGTTTTGTCTGGTCGAGTCGTCGCCTCCCCAGACCCCCTCGAGGAATGAACAAATCACGACGGGAGGTGTTTCGCCATTCTCGGCCTCTCTGGGGGCCCTCGCCGGGCCTCGGGAGCGTCCAAAAACGACTCGGGAGGACGAACCGGTCCTGGGGAAGGGGTCGAGCACTCTGGGGTCGACGTACTGAAAAATTCATTACGTCGGGGGTCTGGGTCCGTCAGGTCGTCGTCTGCGTCGTCCCCGTTCCCTGCCGCCCTCCTCGAGCCCGGTCGGCGAGAGAGGAGGAGCTTCGCAGCGTGGCCATCGAATATCGGAGGGGAGCCCCGTTCCTCTGACCCCTCCCCCATCGGCGGGGGGGGGGGGTCGCCGGGGAGGGGGGGGGGGTCCCGACCCAGACCCCCTCGAGTAATGAAAAAATCATGACGGGAGGTTTTTCGCCATTTTCGGCCTCTGGGGGCTCTCGCCGGGCCTCGGGAGCGTCAAAAAACACCTCAGGAGGACAAACCGGTCCTGGGGAAGGGGTCGAGCACTCTGGGGTCGACGTAATGAAAAATTCATTACGTCGGGGGTCTGGGAGGGGGGGGGGGGTCCCGAGGGAGGGGGGGGTTCAGATACGCATCGGGGGCCCGGGGCTGCAAAAAGTACCCAAACCCCAAGAGGCCCCCGAGACGGTCCAGGAGGGCCCCCCGTCGCCAAGCGATCGGTTCGAAGCGCCGTCGCGCTCCCAGACTGCCCAGGAGACCTCCAGGACGCCCCAAGACACCTCAAAAGGAACTCCCGAGAGGGCCCCAAGAGGCCAGAATCATGGATTTGGCTTAGGTTTTTTTTTTTTGTTAAACAGATTTGGGCGTTCTCGCTTTTTCCACTCTCCGCCGCTCCAAGACGGCCAAAGAGGCCCTCAAGATCGCCCCAACACGGCCCAAGAGGCTTCCAAAGGCTCTAAAATGTCCCAAGAGGACCCCAAGACAGTGCAAAACGCCTCCAAGACGGCCCAAGAGGCCCCCAAGACGGCTCCAAGATCGTGCGTTGACGGGGAACCCGAACGGACATTTCGAGCCCTCGGCCCCGAGAAGCTCCCAGGAAGCCCCAAGAGGTTCCCAAGAGGCCCCAAGAAGCCCACAAGAGGCCCCCAGGACACCGGCCCCAAGAGGCTGACCCAAAAATTCCTCCCCAAAGGCCCCCGAGACCCCACGAAGCATCCCTGAGGACTCCGGCCCACGTCCGCGTCGTCGTCGTCGCCGCCGCCGCCGCCGCCTCTGCCGCCGCCGTCGTCGACGTCTCCCTTCAGGGTCGGCGGCACCGGCTGTGAGGCCTTCGCAATAACTGACTTGAGACTGGCCTTTTCTGAGCTTCGTGAGTAGCCTCGTGGACTGGCAACCCTGACTCCAGATCCGCCCTACTTTGGCTTTTTTTCCCACTTAAAACTGCGCCGGAAATCCACCTATAGGAAGCCGAACAAGTGGGGCGGAAATTTCTGCACCCAACATAAAACAGGGCGGAAATCCACGGAAGTAGGGCGGAAACAGCAACAGAAAAGCAGGGCGGAAACTGGCATCAGCGGAACTTGAAAAGTGAGCGGGAACAGCAACAGAAAAGTAAGGCGGAAATTCCAAGCCCCACTTACGAATTTCCCCGAAGTAGGGCAGATCTGGAGTCCCAGACCCCCGACGTAATGAATTTTTCGTTACGTCGACCCCAGAGTTCTCGACCCCTTCCCCAGGACCGGTTTGTCCTCCCGAGTCGGTTTCTGACGCTCCCGAGGCCCGGCGAGGGCCCCCCGAGGCCGAAAATGGCGAAAAACCTCCCGTCGTGATTTTTTCATTACTCGAGGGGGTCTGGGGTCAGGGAGCCTCTCGGGGCCCTCCCGGTGCTTCTCGGGGTCACTTTTCGGGGTCCCCCTGGGGGCGGCCTGGCGGGGGCTCCCGCGGAGGCCCGCGGAGAAGAACAGCAGGAGAGAGGGGGGCGGGGCACGTCTGCGGGCGCCTCGGGGCAGTCTGTTGGGGCGGCGGAGGAGGAGGAGGAGGAGGAGGAGGGGGAGGAGGAGGAGGAGGAGGAGGAGGGGGAGGGGGGGGGAGGAGGAGGAGGAGGAGGAGGAGGAGGAGGAGGAGGAGGAGGAGGGAGGAGGAGGAGGGAGGAGGAGGAGGAGGGAGGAGGAGGAGGAGGAGGAGGAGGAGGAGGCCGCCTCGGGGCCATCGCGGCGGCCCGCCGCGGCAACCTTTGGAGCTGCCGCAAGGGGGCGCCTCGGGCCGTGCAGGAGTGCCCCGCAGGGCGGCCCTCCCAGAAAAGCCCCGAGCCGGCTCCGAGGCAGCCTCCTCCTCCTCCTCCTCCTCCTCCTCCTCTCCTCCCCTCCTCCTCCCCCTCCTCCTCCTCCTCCTCCTCCTCCTCCTCCTCCTCCTCCTCCTCCTCCTCCTCCTCCTCCTCCTCCACTCCAGCGCCGCCCCAAAAGACTGCCCCGAGGACGCTCCCCCGAAGCCTGCGTGGAGCTGCTGGCGCCGAGAAGCCCGAGAAGCCCTCGGGAGCGGCCAAGAGGGGGGTGTCCAAGAGGGGGGGGTGCAAATCATGACCGGCGGCATGTGCGCGGCCCAGCGGGAGGGCCTGGGACGTAATAAGATAAGAAGAGACGCCATGAACTCGGAGGAAAAATCATGGCCCGCGCCATGAAATCCACCCCCCCCTAGTCATCACCCCCCTCGTTTCCGCTCCCGAAGCCCGCGAAGCCGAGCGCACGGATGCCGTCCCTGGCGCGTGCTGGACGGTTCCTGGGAGGCCGCCGGGGGCCTCCAGGAGCACCCACGGGGGCACCAAAAAAGGCGGTCCGTTCACGCACGTTTCCTGCACGCACGGAGTCCTGGAATGCAGAAAAGACTCGGACGGACCCGTAGGATCGAATCCACGGCAAGCGGACAAACCAAATCGGAATCCTCCCATGCAGTGGTGAGGATCGCTCGTCTACTTGGCTGCTTGCCTGCAGCTCTGCTTTCAGTGTTGTTAGCCTGGTGACCTGGCAGCTTGCCGCCGCATGCTTCGTCTGCTTACTGATGCTGCGTGCTGCTGGCACGTGCCGCAAATCGATGGCAGTCGCTGCTGCGGGCTGCTGCGAGGTGCCGCGCGGCGATCTTGGTGCTCTCTGGAAGCATCTTGGGACGATGGTGCCCCCGCCTTGGGCTCTCATGTGGCATCTTCGGGCGACCTTGGGGTTTCTGAAGGCCGTGCGGGCTCTTGTGGGCCATCGTGGGGCTCTTGGGCCCTCTTGGACGCATCTGTGGCCTCGCTTAGAGCCATCTGGAGGCGAACAATGCAGAGCGCCCAGCGAACAACACACATTCTCAGGAGATTGACGGTCTTCGCCTGCTGGGAGCCCGCATAGAACGTCGAAAGCCTCTCGCATAGAAGCCGCGAGCAGCGGGCGGTCTCCACGTTTTCTCATGGGTGGCCTGCTCCGCTTCCGCTGCTGATGGGCCCGTTCTCCACCACCACCACCACCACAAGTTGGAGGGGGGAAGGAGGAGTGCGAGGACGAGGAGGAGGAGGAGGAGGAGGAGCAGGAGGAGGAGGAGGCGGAGGAGGCGGAGGAGGAGAAGGAGGAGGAGGAGGAGGAGGAGGAGGAGGAGGAGGACCCCCTCCCCTTCTAACTGATGGTGGTGGTGGTGGTGGTGGTGGTGGTGGTGGTGGTGGTGGTGGTGGTGGAGAACAGGCCCATCAGCTGTCACTGCCGTAGGCTGCACTTGCTGCTGCTGGAGTTGCTCGGGCCGTGTGCCGCGGCAGGGTGCTTCTGGACTGCTCGGTTGGCTGATGCCGCTTGCCGGTGCTGCGCACTGCTGCTGTAGCCTGGCAACTTCTGCTGCTGCTTGGTGCTGCTGCTAGCTGGTCATACCTGCGGCTACTGGCTTTGCTGCTGCTGCTGCTGCTGCTGCTGCTGCTGCTGCTGGCACGGTAGTTGGGGCGTCTGAGCACTGTTGCGGGCCATATTGGAGCTTTTGGGGGAATCCTTAGGCCGGTGTGGCGCTCCATGGGGACCATCCGAAGCCGTCCGTGGCTGTCTGGGAGCAAACTGGGACCGCCTTGGGGCTATCCTTGGGGCCGCAATGAGCCTTCTGGGGTCTTTTCGGGGAGCTCGTGGGTCGTCGCGGCGCCCTCCGTGAGCCCTCTGGGCCGAAAGCCTCTGGTGCCTGAGGGCCTTGAGGGTCTGTTTGGGGGCCGTCCAAGGGGTCTTGGGATCATCTTTGGGCGGCCTTCATCTCGGAGCCGTCTTGGGGCCGTGTTGGAGGCCAGCTGGGGCCGCCTCGGGTTCTGCTGGAGGCGTCTTGGCGGTTCTGGGATGCTCTCGTGTGCCTCTTGAGCTCTCTCTGAGGCCTTCAGGCCAGTGCCGGAGGCCGTCTGAAACCGCGGGCCCGTCTTCGGCGTCGAGCGCCTCTTGAAAGCGGTTCCGGCCGACCTGGATCCCTGCGAAAGCGACGCCAAGTTGGTGACGATCAGGAACGGGTCTTACGTGAGATGGCATGCCGACCTTACGCGGTCACTTACGCGAGTCGCCAGAGCGGCACGCCACATTGGAAACGAGGGCGCTTACGAGCGAACTTACGCGGGCAGCTTACGCGCCAATATCGGCGCGGTCGTTCCGCTTTCTTACGTCGCTCAAGTTGTCTGGGGCCAGCGCCCTGCCGGAGACGCATGTCGGCCACAGTTCCGTCTTCGCACGCGGTGCTGCCGGCATTCCAGTATAGCTGACGTCGGGCTTCAGCTTCGCCTTGCGCAGCTCGCTGAGCAGCGCCAGAGCACGCTGCCACTGCTTGCCCTTCTCGCACGCACTGATCCCAGCGCTGTAGCTGATGACAGTGGGCCCCAGCTTCGCTTCACGCATGTCGCTGAGCAGCGCCAGAGCCCGCTGCCACTGTCCTCCTTTCTCGCACGCGCTGATCCCAGCGTTGCAGCTGACGACGTCGAGCTCCAGCTTCGCTTCACACATTTCGCTAAGAAGCGCCAAAGCCCACTGCCACTGCTCGCCCTTTTCGCACGCGCTGATCCCAGCGATGTAGCTGACCAGTGTGCACCCGTGGAGAAATTTCACGATGGGCAGAGCCATTATCTGGCTAGCGATTTGCTGCGGCATTATGGTTGCAACCTTAGCGGGCCCTGGAAACGACAGGGCCGTTTTTTTACCGGTTCCGTTTTGCCGTTTCTGTTGCCAGTTCTGGCGCCATATTTTTCTGGATCCGTCGCCGGTTTTTGCCAGGTCCGGTTCCAGTTCCAATTCTGGAGCCGTTTTCTTGCCGTTTCCAGAGGCCGCTTCCACCGCCTCCATTTTCAAGAGTCACTTTTTCGGGGACGGTGAGAAAAAAACGGCCCTGCATGCCGTGTCTGGGGCCCACTAAGGTTGCAGCGGCTACGTGCTGCTAGGCCTGATGATCGGGCGCGCGAGCGCCTTGGGCGCCCGCATTATCCGGGGTAACTCGGGCTCGGGGCAACTCGGGTTCGGATTCCCCAAACAAGAGCCCGAGATAGCCCTGACCCGAGTTACCCCTGATGATTTGGGGCTCTGGGCGCTGGAATTATCTGGGGAAACTCGGGCCCGGGGCAACTCGGGCTCGGATCCCCGACAAAAACGAACCCGAGTTAGACCTGACCCCAGTTAGACCTGACCCGGGCACCCCCCAGAGAGATCCGACGCATGGATGCAAAAAGCAGGACGGAGGTTCTGTGCAGATCTCGGCCCCTATAGGGACCCTCGCCGGGCTTCGGGGCCGTCAAAAAACGAGCCGAGATCGTCAGCGCCCCTCAAACGGGGACTCCACTAACGGGTACTTTGGCCAGTGACCCAGCGAACCCAACCCTTCCCGATGTGGGCAAAGCTACAATACAAGAAAAAGGCCCTAAAATGAACTTTCGGCAAAAATTCAAAGTACCCGTTAGTAAGTACCCGTTACGGTGCCGTTGAGATCGAACACGGGCGCCAGGCCCGGAGGCACGCCCTCCGCCAGAGCTCCGGGGACGACCCTCCGGGGCACGGCCCTCCCGGGGCCCAGGCCGGCCTCCACCACGCCCCCCACGCGGCCTCCAGGACACCCAGAGATCCAACGCAGGGACAAAAATGGAGACGAGGGCTTTTCGTAAGTTTCGGCCCCCAGGGGCCCTCGCCGGGCCTCGGGGCCGTCGAAAGACGACTGGGGATGAAAGACCGGTCCTGAGGAATCCCTGACTCCGGATCCGCCCTACTTTGGGGGAAATTCGTGAGTAAGGCTTGGAATTTCCGCCCTACTTTTCAAGCCCCGCTGATGCCAACTTCCGCCCTACTTTTCTGTGGCTGTTTCCGCCCTACTTCCGTGGATTTCCGCCCTATCTTATGTTGGGTGCAGAAATTTCCGCCCTACTTTTTCGGCTTCTTATAGGCGGATTTCCGATGCAATTTTACGTTGGACAAAAAACCAAAGTAGGGAGGATCTGGACTCAGGGATGGGTCGAGAATTCCGGGAACCCCGCACTGAGCAAATCACGGCGTCGGATCTCCGGGACGAGGGCTGCCCCCGGGGTAGGGCTCGGGGCCTCTGGGGCCGCGCACGGACCAGACTCACATCGTCGGGTGTCCATGTCCGGGGCCGTGTCGGGGCTGCCTGGAGCCGGTGTCGACCCCGTCCCATGCCGCACGCGCTGATCCTAGCGCTGCAGTGCAGATGACACAGGGCCCCATCTTCGCCTCACGCATCGCGCTGATCAGCGCCAGAGCCTGCTGCCACTGCTCGCCATTCTTGCACGCGCGGATCCCAGCGTTGCAGCTGATCACGTCGGGCTCCAGCTCTGCCTCGCACATCGTGCTGATCAGCGCCAAAGCCCTCTGCCACTGCTCACCCTTCTCGCACGCGCATATCCCAGCGTTGTAGCTGACTGGTGTGAACCCGTGGAAAATTCACGGCTGGCAAGTGAAGGTGTTGGTCCCGAACGCGCATGTGTCGCCGACGTCTGCGGGTTTGCTTCGGGACTGTCTTGGGGGCCATCGAGGGCTCTACGAGGAAGGTCCCCCCTGTCACCCCCCCAATCGGCCGCCTTGGGCAGCGCCGGGGCCGTCTTGCGCGCGTCGGGGGCCGTGCTGGGAGCCTATGGGGCTGTACTGGGAGTCGTATCATGTATGAAGGGTAGGTGAAGGCTTCGTTGGGCTGTCTTGGGATTGCTCAGGGGCCGTCTTGGACCGCCTTGGGGCGAGCTCGGGGGCGTCCTGGGATGGGCGGGCGTGTTTTGGGCGTACCTAGGGATCTTGTTGGGCCGTTGTTCTTGGAAGCAACCGGGGAGCCACACCGTTATCGGGCCTTGGTTTGGGGTCAGGGGCTTTCTTGGAGGCTACCGGAGATCCACACACGGGGAAAGGTGCCGGGGCTGGAGGCTCTCTTGGGAGCTCAGTGGCCTTGGGCAGCGCCGGGGCCGTCTTGCGCGCGTCGGGGGCCGTGCTGGGAGCCTCTGGGGCTGCACTGGGAGTCGTATCATGTATGAAGGGTAGGTGAAGGCTTCGTTGGGCTGTCTTGGGATTGCTCAGGGGCCGTCTTGGACCGCCTTGGGGCGAGCTCGGGGGCGTCCTGGGATGGGCGGGCGTGTTTTGGGCGTACCTAGGGATCTTGTTGGGCCGTTGTTCTTGGAAGCAACCGGGGAGCCACATCGTTATCGGGCCTTGGTTTGGGGTCAGGGGCTTTCTTGGAAGCTACGGGGGAGCCACACACGGGGAAAGGTGCCGGGGCTGGAGGCTCTCTGGGGAGCTCTATGGGAACCAGCTGAGTTTCTTGGGAGGCCCTGGGGCATCTCGAAGTGGTCTGGGAAGGGTGCCGTGGATGAAGGCGCTCTCCTGGGGAGCTCCTGGGCAACCATCGGAGTCTATTGGGAGACTCTGGGGCATCTCGGAGTGGTCCTCGGAGAGTTCGTGGCCCGTTGGGGGCTGCGGGAAGGCTGCGGTATAGACTCCCTGCGGCCCCTCTTGGAGCTCTCCTGGGGATCTCTCTGGAGCCTCGTGGGGCCGTCTTGGGCCATATAACTAGGGGCTCTCTTGGGCCGTCTCGGGGGCCCCGCGGACTCCCTGCGGCCCCTCTTGGAGCCCTCCTGGGGGTCTCTCTTGAGCCTTGTGGGGCCGTATTGGGCCATTTTAGGGCTCTCTTGGGCCGTCTCGCGGGGCCCGCGGACTCCCTGCGGCCCCTGTTGGAGCCCTCCTAGGAGTCTCTCTGGAGCCTCGTGGGGCCGTATTGGGCCATTGTAAGGCTCTCTTGGGCCGTTTCGGGAGCCCCGCGGGCTGTCCTGGGGCCATGGTCGGGGTCTCGGGCTGTCTTTAGCTGACGACGTCGAGCTCCAGCTCCACCACGCACATTTCGCTGAGCAGCGCCAACGCCCGCTGCCACTGCACGCCCTTCCCGCACGCGCTGATCCCAGCGCAGTAGATGACTAGAACCCGTGGACTGCGTCCACGGGCAGCGGCCTGATTTTATCAGAGTTACTTGTAATTCTCCCGGCGGCCGCGAAAGCTTACTCGCATGCAAGAGGTGCGGACCGCTCATATGTTCGACCTCTTGTCTGCAGCCCTGCTGGCGAAGTTGTCGGCATGGTGGCCTACAACTGATGGCCCGATCGCCTGATTTCTTTGCTGCTCGCTTCGCTGCTCGCTCATCCGCTCGCCGCCGCTGACTGCCGCTTGCTGCATGCGGTCGTCTTGAGGCCACCTTGCCTGGGGGCCGTCCTCGGGCGTGCGTGCCTCGGGCCGCTCCGAGGCCGCGAGAGGGCGTGCCGGCGTGGAGGGTGCCCAGGCGAGAGGCGCGAGTGGAGACGAGCAAGGACCTCTCGGGAGGGAGGAGCTGGCAGCCAGACGCGAGGAGGGGGGGGAGCGAGGGTGGAAGGGCGACGGGCACGTGGCTCTCCCAGTGGCCTCGACGCGCGCCTGGCCCGTCGCTCGATCTTTGCCCTGGCTGCGCATGCGGCCGTGCTAGGGCCAACCCGGGGCCGTTTGGGGGCTATCGTTTGGGAGGAGGAGGAGGAGGAGGAGGAGGAGGAGGAGGAGGAGGAGGAGGAGGAGGAGGAGGAGGAGGAGGAGGAGGAGGAGGACCTCTTGGGCTCCCCTCGGGGCTCTCCCGCGCCTCCTGGAGCCATCCCATCCCATCTGGGCGGCCCTCGTGACCTCTGGGAGCTCTTTGGGGGGGCCCGGGGACGTTCCGGGAGCACCTTGGGACCATCCTAGACCTCCCTGCGCGGCCATCGGGCCCGTCTTGGGGCCATGGTCGAGGCCTCTCGGACCGTCTCGGGAGTTACTTGGACCGCCTTGGAGCCCTGTTGGGCCGCCTTGGCGACTGCAGGCAGGACCGTTCAATGCTCAAGAACAGAGTGATGCATCTGCAGTGCCCCTGAACGCTTCACCGAAGAGCGTCAGACCGCACTCGACGCTTCCCATTCACGCACGCACTCTCGCGACTCAAAGTGCAAACGAGGGGGACCACCAAGAGTGTGAGGGTGTGCCGACATGGGGCAGGGCGACGCCTTGCGAACGCAGCCGCGGCGGAGCTCCCTGTGCGGCCACGGAACGTGGGGGGTGTGCGGACATGGGGCGAGGCACCATGCGAACGCAGCCGCTGCAGCCGTCGATGGAGCTCCCTATGGGGCCATGAAGCGTGTGAGGGGTGCGCCGAAATAGAAAGGGGAAACATGTGAACCCAGCCACTGGGGACTTCGGTGGAGCGCCCTAGGGGGCACGCAGTGTGTGCGGGGTGTGCCGAAACAAGGCGGGGCACCATCCTGGGACCACGAGGCGCGTGAGAGAGATGGTCCGAAAATGGGCGGGACACCAAATGAGCCCAGCCACTGGGGCCTTCGGTGGAGCTCCCAATACGCAGGTCCACGAAGCGCGTGGGGGGTCTGACGAAATGGGGCGGGTTACCATGTGAACCCAGCCACTGAGGCCTTCGATGGAACTCCTCATGGGGCCACGAAGCATGTGAGCGGTGCGCCGATTTGGGGCGGGTCACGATGTGGACCCAGCCACTGGGTGCCACGAAACGTGTGAGCGGTGTGCCGAAATGGGGCAGGACTCCATGCAGACTGCGCCGCTGGGGCCTTCGATGGAACTCCTGATGTGGGTACGAGACGTCTGTGGTGTGTGTGTGTGTGTGCGTGAGTGCTAACATGGGCCAAAGAACCATGCGAATCCTGCCACTGGGGCCCTGGGTAGAGTTCCGTTGGGTGCCGCGAATCATGTGGGGGGGTGCCGAAATTGACCGGGGTACCGTGCGAACTCTGCCATTGGGGCTTTCGGTGGAGCTTCTGATGGGGGCACGAAACGTGGGAAAGGCGTGCCGAAGCAGACATGCGGAAGGCTGAACCTGGGGAGGAGGAGGGAGGATGGGGGAGCAGGTGAGGGTGAGGAGACGGGAGGAGGGAGAGGCGCGGCGCTGCGAATTCAAAACTAGGACCCAACTGAAGGGAGGGCGGGGGAATCAAAACGAATTTGGGTGTGGCGGCTCTCTCGGGGGAACTCTTGGAGCCTCCCTGGGGCGTCTTGAAAGTTTCTTGGCCCGTCCAGAAGCCGACTTGGGCTGTCTCGGGGCTCTTTTAGCCGTCTCCGAATTCTCTTCGGCTGTCTGGGGCTTCTCTTGGACCGTCTTGTGGCCCTCTTGGGGCCATCTTGGATTGTCTTGGAGCACCCCAGGGTCGCCTGGAGGCGCGCCGGGGCCTGCCGGGTAGATCCCCCCCACGACCGCCACCCTTATTGGGCCCCAGGTCTTTCTCGCACGCTCTGGCTTCTGCACTGTAAGAGAGATTAAGGCTGATCCGCGTATTCTCGTTCACGCAAGCTCACCCGCATGCAAGTGTGAGAGACCGCTCGCCTGCTTCACTGCTTGCGTGCTGTCCCAACTGCTTGGCTGCCAGATTGCGCGTCTTGCTTGCCAACTTGCATGCTGATTGGCTAGCCAAACTTCCTGCTGGGTTGTTTTCTTCAACGCTTGCTTTCGCTGGGTGCTGCATCCTGCTACTTGGCTCTCTAGTATGTATTGCTGATGATGCCTGGCTGGTTGCTGGTCCATGCTGCTGCTTGTTGCGGGCTGGTGGCGCTGCTTGCTGATGCCCGGTGCCAGTCGACGCTGCTTGGCTGCCGTGCGCTGGTGTTTGCTGCTGGCTGTGATCGTGCGTGTGTTTTGCTGCCGCTCGCCGCCGCCTACCACTGCTGCAGGCTGCTGCCTGATGGTCATACTTGTTGACGCTGCGCGTTGCTGACACTTACTAGCGCCGCATGTCTGCTTGTGCTGCTGTTGTTGCTGCTGCTTTTCGTCGCTGCTGCTGTTTGGTCGAACAACTCAATACATGATGCGCACAGATATACAAACCACTGCATCCTCCCTCTCACCTGCGCAATTCCGGAATGCAGAGAGGGGCACGGACATCGATGTTTTTTGTTTTTTTTTCCACCGCGGTCGTCATCGAGCCAAACCGGCTGTGCACCCACAGCTGCGTCTGCGGCAGCCCTGTTGAGCGGCGCAGGCCCAAACGCCGCTGGAGGCACGAAACGCTGGAAAAAAACCTGAGCGGCCAGAACCAAGACCGCACGCGGAAAAAAACGCGCTTTGTGCTCGATGTGTGGTTCAATCTGGATATTGCTGCTGTTGCCTCTGAACTCACCACGAACGATGCAGCAGCTCAGCGGGAGGAGAATACACATCGCATCTGGATGCTAATGCCGATGCTGGCATGTGCCACCCAGCTGGACGCACCGAGCTCGCGAAGACACGGCAAAACGACCAGGCGAGGAGCATCACCCAGCGGGCGATCACGATGCCACGTACACTCCACTGGGAGCGGGGCAACAATCATCATTTCCTCAACAAATATATGGAATGTAGGGCGAAATCCCCTTCAGCGCACTGCTGCTGCCAAGCATAAGCGACAAAGACGCACGTGCCGATGACAATCGCTATCACCGCGAGGTCCTCCACTTGGTTCGTGAGGGCGTGGACGGACGAACCGGCGAAGGACATCAACCACTGGTGGCGTGCACGTGCAGAGCACAAGCTGCAGGCGCCCTGCACTCGACGAGGGACGTCTTCGGCCCTTCAAACACACAACGCGCATTGAAGAGGCAACCTTCAGCACTCAGACATGAGCGCACCTAGCTGGATGAAACTGTTGGGACGATCGTTGCCAATCTTGGATTATCCTCCACCGCACTCGCATTAGCATGGGTTAGCGAGCTGAAATAACACAACAACCAACCGATAT